TCAGACAACAAAAGGAAATCAAAGGCATCAAAATTGGCTAAGATGAAGTCAAGCTTTCACTTTTTGCAGACGACATGATATTATACATGGAAAACCCAATAGACTCCACCAAAAGTCTGCTAGAACTGATACATGGGTTCAGCAAAATGGCAGGATACAAAATTAATATACAGAAATCAGTTGAATTCTTATACACTAATAATGAAGCAACAGAAAGACAAATAAAGAAACTGATCCCTTTCACAACTGCACCAAGAAGCATAAAATACCTAGGAATAAACCTAACCAAAGATGTAAAAGATCTGTATGCTGAAAACTATAGAAAGCTTATGAAGGAAATTGAAGAAGACATAAAGAAATGGAAAAACATTCTGTGCTCTTGGATTGGAAGAATAAATATTGTTAAAATGTCAATATGACCCAAAGCTATCTACACATTCAGTATAATTCCAATCAAAATTGCACCAGCATTCTTCTCAAAGCTAGAACAAGCAATCCTAAAATTTGTATGGAACCACAAAAGACCCCGAACAGCCAAAGTAATTTTGAAGAAGAGGACCAAAGTGGGAGACATCACAATCCTAGACTTTAGTTTCTACTACAAACTGTAATCATCAAGACAGCATCGTACTGGCACAAAAACAGACACATAGACCAATGGAATAGAATAGAGATTCCAGAATTGGACCCACAAATGTATGGCCAACTAATCTTTGACAAAGCAGGAAAGAATATCCAATGGAAAAAAGACAGTCTCTTTAACAAGTGGTGCTGGGAGAACTGGACAGCAACATGCAGAATAATGAAACTAGACCACTTTCTTACACGTTTCACAAAGATAACCTCAAATTGGATGAAGGACATGAATGTGATACAGGAAACCATCAGAACCCTAGAGGAGAAATCAGGAAAAAAACCTCTGTGACCTCAGCCGCATCAATTTGTTAACTTGCCACATCCCCAAAGTCAAGGGAATTAAAAGCAAAAATGAACTATTGGGACCTCATCAAGACAAAAAGCTTCTGCACTGCAAAGGAAACAATCAACAAAACTAAATGGCAACCAACGGAATGGGAAAAGATATTTGCAAATGACATATCAGAGAAAGGGCTAATATCCAAAATCTATAAAGAACTCACCAAACTCCACACCCCAAAAACAAATAATCCAGTGAAGAAATGGGCAGAACACATGAATAGACACTTTTCTAAAAAAGACATCCAGATGGCCAAGAGGCACATCAAAAGATGCTCAATGTCACTCCTCATCAGGGAAATACAAATCAAAACCACACCGAGAAACCACCTCATGCCAGTCAGAGTGGCTAAAATGAACAAATCAGGAGACTATAGATTCTGCAGAGGATGTGGAGAAATGGGAACCCTCTTGCACTGTTGGTGGGAATGCAACCTGGTGCAGCCACTCTGGAAAACAGTGTGGAGGTTCCTCAAAAAATTAAAAATGGACCTACCCTATGACCCAGCAATAGCACTGCTAGGAATTTACCCAAGGGATACAGGAGTACTGATGCATAGGGTCACTTGTACCCCAATGTCTATAGCAGCACTTTCAACAGTAGCCAAATTATGGAAAGAGCCTAAATGTCCATCGACTGACAAATGAATAAAGAGGATGTGGTTTACATATTCAACGGAATACTAGTAGGCAATGAGAAAGAATGAAATCTGGCCATTTATGGCAACGTGGATGGAACTGGAGATTGTTATGCTAAGTGAAATAAGTCAGGCAGAGAAAGAGAGATACCACATGTTTTCACACTTACGTGGATTCTGAGAAACTCAACAGAAGACTAGGGGGTAGGGAAGAGGAAAAAAAAAGTTACAGAGAGGGAAGGAGGCAAACCATAAGAGACTCTTAAAAAATGAGAACAAACTGAAGGTTGATCATGGGTGGGAGGGAGGGGAAAGTGGGTGATGGGTATTTAGGAGGGCACCTGTTGGGATGAGCAAATGGAAACCAATTTGACATAAATTTCATAAAAAAAAGACTTATCAGACTCAACCCCCAAAAAGCAAACAACCCATTAAGAAATGGGCAGAAAATATGAATACTTTTCCAAAGAAGATATCCAGATGGCTAACAAACACATGAAAAGATGCTCAACATCACTCATCATCAGGGAAATACAAATCAAAACCACAATAAGATAACATTTCACACCTGTCAGAATGGCTAAAATTAATAACTCAGGAAGCAACAGGTATTGATGTGGATGCGCAGAAAAGGGAACCCTCTTACACTGTTGGTGGGAATGCAGACTGGTGCAGTCACTCTGGAAAACAGTATTATGGAGGTTCCTCAAAAAGTTAAAAATAGAATTCCTCTACAATCCAGGAATTACACTACAAAGTATTTACCCAAAGAATCTGAAAATACTTATACAAAGGGATATAAACACCCTAATGTTTATAGCAGCATTATCAACAATAGCCAAATTAGGGAAAGAGCCCAAATGGATGGATAAAGAATATATGGTGTATATAAAAAATGGAATACTACTTAGCAATCAAAAAGAATGAAATCTTGCCATTTGCAGCAATGTGGGTGGAACTAAAGTGTACTATGCTAAGTGAAATAAGTCAGGCAACAAAAGAAAAATATGATATGATTTTACTCATATGTGGAATTTAAGAAACACATCAGATGAACATAGGGGAAAGGAAGGAAAAATCAGATAAAATCAGAGAGGAAGGCAAACCATAAGAGACTCTTAAATATGAGAAGAGGAGTTGTTAGAGAGTTGGTAGAGGGGTGGTGCATGTGGGATGGGTTAAATTGGTGATGGGCATTAAGAAGGACACTTGTTGGGATAAGCACTGGGTGTTATATTAAGTGATGAATCACCGGGTTTACTCCTGAAACCAATACTACACTGTATGTTAACTAACTTGAATTAAAAAAAAAAAAGTTCTCAGCACATGAAAAAAAATTCTACAACTATATATGCGGTGACTGATGTTAACTAGATTTATTGTGTGATTATTTCACATTATATGCAAATATTGAATCATTATGGTGTACACCTGAAAGAAATATAATGTTGTATATCAATTATACCTCAATTAAAAATTTTTAAAAATTAAAAAATATAAATATTTGTTAAATTAAAAAAAAAACTGTCCTAGATATAACAAAACCTTAAAAACTAGTGATGTTAGTTGGTTTTGCAACTGAATTTGACATGCCTTGACAAAAGGAGTTATTATATCTCATAATCACATAACTTGTTTTACTTTAAGACATCCATCACACTTGTCTACAGTATAATTGTTTATGGGTACTTGCCTTCTTTTTCTTTTTGTGTGAATGTGTGAAGTGACTAAAACACAAGTGACTATTTGGTGACACTGCCTTGATTAAAGTAGCAACAGTTTTATCCACCATTGCTTTTGAACCATCAGTGCAAATGTCAACACATTGGAAGAAGCAAATCACCTTCATATTATTCACATTTATACTCATATTATGGGTTCCCTGTAAGAGGGTCAGTGATGCCCAGACTCCCAGGGAACATGCTTTCAGAATATTTGCTCCAGATTTATGTGACATAAGTAAACCACTATTTAATACACAGTTAGTTTGGAGGCGCCTGGGTGGCTCAGTCAGTTAAGCATCCGACTTTGCAGGTCATGATCTCACGGCTGTGAGTTCAAGCCTGTGCTGACAGCTCAGAGCCTGGAACCTGCTTCATATTCTGGGTCTCCCTCTCTCTCTGCCCCTCCCCCGCTCATGCTGTCTCTCTCTGTCTCTCAAAAATGAACATAAAAAAGACGCAGTTAGTTTGGTTTAAAACACAAGATAATTTGTATCTCTAGTTTTCAAACCATCTTGTGCAAGTTTGCCAAAAGGCAGCAATTAGAGATATTCTTTTTCTGAAAATACTTTTCTCTTTTTTATAGCTTTATTGAGATGTAACAGAAAAATAAAAATTGTATATATTTAAGGTGTACAATGTGATGTTTTGATATACATATACATTGTGAAATGATTATCCCAATAAAGCTAGTTAACATATCCCTTACCTCACATAGTTAACACACTGTGTGTGTGTGTGTTTGCATGTGTGTGTGTGTGTGTGTGTGTGTGTATGTGGGGAATAAGAACAATTAAGATCTCTTTTAGCAAATTTCAAGTACACAATACAGTATTATTAACTATAATCACCATGCTATATAGATCTCCAGAACTTCATCCTTTGCATAATTAAAATTTGAGACTCTTTTTTTAAAAAATTTTTTTTCAACGTTTTTATTTATTTTGGGGACAGAGAGAGACAGAGCATGAACGGGGAAGGGCAGAGAGAGAGGGAGACACAGAATCGGAAACAGGCTCTAGGCTCTGAGCCATCAGCCCAGAGCCCGACGCGGGGCTCGAACTCACGGACCGCGAGATCGTGACCTGGCTGAAGTCAGACGCTTAACCGACTGCACCACCCAGGCGCCCCGAGACTCTTGAATTTATAGTAACTTACTTCAAATTCTGAGACAGAATAGGCAGGGGAAGTTAAGAAACAATTCTTTTTTTTTAGTGGTTTAGATGTTTATTGTTGATTTCAGTTAAAGGCTAGAAATGACTGCAATACCCAACATTAAAGTTCTGCTAATACAGAACTTGCATATATAGACCAGAGTAAACAATACCATAACACAGAACACTATCTGTTTTAGAGGATACTATTTACTATTAAGGAAAAAATGAAGTCAACATATACACGAAAGTGGAATAATTCTCAGGAATTCTTATTCTCAAGTGAAGAAACCATGATACAGAGCCATTATTTGATACTGTTTACTTTTCTTTTTGCTATACTTGTATATAATATTGCCTTTTAAATCATGCCCCGTATTCTCATATCTTTGTGCTCTACTCAAAAGTAGGATAGCATGTCCTTCTCAGACAGTTCTGCTTAGAAATCAGCACATGCTCTTTTGTACCTCCCCTCCCTTGTTCCACAGTGTTGCAAGCACAGTGAATATTTGGTTCATAACTGTGGACAGTAGGAAGAACACCAGCTTTGGAGTCAGTTCAGACCTGTGTCTGCTGCATTGCTGAAATCTTGGGCAAGTAAGTTACTTATTTTTCTGAATATGAATTTTCTCAACTGGCATATGGCAACAAAAATATGTCTATATCTATCTATTATGATGACTAAAGGAGCTAAAGCACATAAGCACTCAGCACAATGCTAGGTGCATAATAAGTGCTTCATAAATGACAGTTTTTATTAATTTAGTACAATGTTTAAGGGACTTGTTTAGATTTTATAAGCTCTTCTTTTCCAACTCTCCTTGAGCTGTATCACCCCAGCCTTCCCTGGTAAGCTTCTCTGGAAAGTTAAGTAATTTTTGCCTTTCCTGGTTCTTTTAAGCACTTTTTAAAGCAAAATTACCTATTTTACACTCAGTGCTTTAAAGAAGAATGCTCTCTGTCCTCTTGATTTCAAAAGAGAGTTTACCCTTTCTTTAGATTATTCTGCATGTTTATGGTTAAATGTATCACTGTGCATTTTAAGTTGAATATTACATATTATATAGGAGGCTGTCTAGCAAAACAGTTACAATTTAAAACAGATCAATAGTGTGGACTGAAAGCCAAAACCTGGGATAATGTCTCTATTAGACTCTCTTTTGATTTAAATTATATTGAAGGAATATAGTCTTATAAAGTAATTTTTAACAGATTTTTATTTCTTCATTTTCAGGTCTTTCAGCCTGGTATGGCAGAAAAACCATTGTGTATGCCCACACAAATACCCCATGATGAAGATACAGTTGAGTATATCTTTCAAATAGAACTTCCAATTTTGTACTTTAACAAGATTGGGTAATTTCAAAATGTTGATTCAGTAAAATGATATAGACATAGGTCATAAAGATTCGTGTTTGTTATGCTTGCACAAGAATTAAATTTTACATTGATTGGAGTTAAATACCAATATTGGTTTAAATACCTGTTCCCTGTTTCTTGAGTTTGCAGACCTTTTTGGTAGTATTCTTATTTAACACCAAAGAATAACAAACCTCCCATTAGGTGGGAAGAATAGCACTATTTTGATGCATGTGTTTGTGGAAATTTATGTGCTGATAATAAATAACTTTTAAGTGAAGTTATTTTAGGAAGTGGTTGGGTGGCTGTTTATTTCTTTGCTCAGTGGGAGATTGAAACAAGTTACATTTTAAGATAAGCCTCTGTACTAGGGACAACTTACAATAATTCACACACAAATTTACACTAAAAAAGAGAGTAGTATGCCTGAATGAGTGAAAAGTGAGTTTTAGAATTCCTTTTGAGCAGATGTCAAATATATATGTGAACATTGATCTATGTTAAATAGTGCTCATTTATGTCTTAGTACCTAATGGCTCTTTTGGTATTTTCTCTTCCCCCAAACATGCATATCCAAACTACCATATTTTTTTCTCTTTTCCTTCTCACTGTTACTCCTCTGAAGAGAATGGCTTATTCAATATTTGTTTTTCTATCAGTCCCATGCTTAAAATCACACTTGATCCACCTTTCATCTTCACTGCTTTTTAAACTACTGTCAAAGTCATGTCTCAGAAATGAAACCACTGACTTATGTCCATGACATAATATCTTTGGCCCCTCTTTTGCATTAAATCATGGTGAACATTCCTTTGTTTACATGATATTAAAATAATAAAATTTTAGAATTAGAAGGGATACCAAAGGCCAATTAGTCACACTTTAAGCTAAGGTAGAAATGCTCAGTACATACCCTTTAGCAAGTAACCTTCCAACTTTTTTTAACCATTTTACAATTGGCAACTTAGTTTGTTCCCTCATCATGCTCAAACAATAGGAAAGAGAAAACACTCCTCTCAACCTAGTTTTTCACCAACAGTAACTAATCTTTGGACAAGTTTTCATATCAGCACACAGATCAACCTTATTCTTTTTAATAGCTCTGTACTTTTGCTATTATAAATGTACTTTTTTTCAATAGCCAGACCCTCTAAGTAGTGGTAAGGTAACTTCTGGGCTTTTTTTTTTCTGTTTCTCTTTCTTCTTCCTCCTCCTCATTTTTTCTTCTTCTTTTTCGTCTTCACAGTTCTGTATCATGCTGCATTGAATATCCTCCTACATACTTTTTCATATATATGTTTCATGTATTTTGTTAGAAATGAAATTATTGGATCAGAAAGTATATGCAATTTAAAATTTGATAGTAATTAGCAAGTCACTCTATAAAGATATTATGTCAATTTATGCTACAGCCATCAATATGTGAGGATGTCTATCTTGGTTTTTTTTTTAATCTCTCTCCTGTATTGGAATTCAAGGCTTAAGTAGACTCATTTAATTGTTTTTTGTTGAAGTGTAATTAACATATTGTTTTATATTAGTTTCAGACATACAATATGATTAAACAATTCAATACATTACTCAGCGCTCATAATAATTAATGAACTCTTAGTCCCTTTTTATCTATTTCATTCATTCTCCCACCTTCCTGTTTTCTGATAACCACCAGTTTCTTCTTTGTATTTAAGAGTCTGTTTTTTTGTGTGTCTTTTTTTCTTTATGTTTTTTGTTTGTTAAATTCCAAATATAAGTGAAATCATATGATATATGTCTTTCTCTAAGTGACTCATGTCAGTTAGCATTATACACTTTGGGTCCATCCATGTTGTTGCAAATGGCAAGTTCTCATTCTTTTTTTACGGCCAAGTAATATTCTATTGTGTATATATGCCACATCTTTTTTTTACACCAAGTTTTTATTTAAATTCCAGTTAGTTGACATACAGTGTAATATCAGTTTCAGGTGTAAAATTTAGTGATTCAACACTTACATACAACACTCAGTGCTCATCACAATAAGTATCTTCCTTAATCCCCATCACTTATTTACCACATCACCCTTCCCACCTCCCCTCTGGTAACCATCAATTTGTTCTCTATAGTTAAGAGTCTGTTTTTCTATTTGCCTCTATTTCCCCCACTATGTTCATTTGTTTTGTTTCTTAAATTCCACATGAGTGAAATCATATGGTGTTTGTGTTTCTCTTACTGACTTATTTCACCTAGCACAATACTCTTTTGCTCCATTCATGTTATTGCAAATGGAAAGATTTCATTGTTGCTATTGCTGAGTAATATCATTTTATATATATATATATATATATATATATATATATAGCCAATTCTTCTGTATACATTTGTAGTCAATGGGCATTAGGACTCTTTCCATAATTTGGTGATTGTTGATAATGCTGCTATAAACATCAGGGTGCATGTATCCTTTTGAATTAGTATTTTTGTATCCTTTGAGTAAAGACCCAAGAGTGCAATTGCTGGATAATTGAGTAGTTCTATTTTTAAACCTCCATACCATTTTCAAAAATGTCTGCACAAATTTGCATTTCTGTCAAGAGTGCAAGAGGGTTCCTCTTTCTCTGCATCCTTTACCAACATCTGTTGTTTCCTGAGTAGTTAATTTTAGCCATTATGACAGGTGTGAGGTGGTATCTCATTGTGGTTTTGATTTGTATTTCCCTGATGTTGAGCAATGTTGAGCATTTTTTCATGTGTCTGTTAGCCATCTGGATGTCTTCTTTGGAAAAGTGTCTATTCATGTCTTCTACCCATTTCTTAACTGGATTATTTGTTTTTTATATGTTGAGTCCCAATAGTTTATTCTTGATTTTGTTTCTCTTGCCTCAGGAGACATATCTAGAAAGAAGTTGCTATAGCTAATGTCAAAGAGGTTATTGCATATGTTATTCTCTATCTCATATTTAGGTCTTTCCTATCTCACATTTAAGTCTTTAATCCATTTTGAATTTATTTTTGTATATGGTGTAAGGAAGTGGTCCAGTTCCTTTCTTTTGCATGTTGCTGAACAGTTTTCCTAACACCATTTGTTGAAGAGACTGTCTTTTTTTTCCATTGGATATTCTTTCCTACTTTGTTGAATATTAATTCACCACATAGTTGTGGGTTTATTTCTGGGTTTTCTATTCTGTTCCATTTATCTATGTATATATTTTTGTGCCAGTATCATAGTATTTTGGTGACTACAGCTTTGTAATATAACTTGAAGTCCAGAATTGTGATGGCTCCAGCTTTGCTTTTCTGTTTCAAGGTTTCTTTGGTTATTTTTAGTCCTTGTTCATTCCATACAGGTTTTAGGATAGTTTTTTCCTGGTTCAATGAAAAAATGCTATTGTTATTTTGATAAGGACTGCAATAAGTGTGTAGATTGCTTTGGGTAGTATGGACATTTAAACAATATTTGTTCTTTTGATTCAGGTCATAGAATGTCTTTCTATTTCTTTGTGTCATCTTTTGTTTCCTTCATCAGTGTTTTATAACTTTCAGGGTATGGGTCTTTCACCTCTTGGGTTAGGTTTATTCCTAGATATCTTATTATTTTAGGTGCAGTTGTAAATGGGACCAATTCCTTAATTTCTCTTTCTGCTGCTTCCTTATTGGTGTATAGAAATACATATTTCTGCATGTTGATTTTATATCCCGAGACTTTACTGAATTCATGTGTTCTAGACGCTTTTGGTCAAATCTTTTGGGTTTTCTATATGGAGTATTATGTCTTCTGCATATAGTGAAAGTTTGCTTTCTTCCTTGCTGATTTGGATGTCTTTTATTTCTTTTTGTTGCCTGATCGCTGAGGATAAGATTGCCGTACTATATTAAGTAGTAATAGTGGGAGAGAACATGCCTGTCTTGTTCCTGACCATAGAGGAAAAGCTCTCAGTTTTTCCTCACTGAGGATTATATTAGCTGTGAGTCTTTTGTATATGGCCTTTATGATGTTGAGGTATGTTCCATCTACCCTTACTTTGCTGAGGGTTTTTATCAAGAATGGTTGCTGTATTTTGTCAAATGCTTTTTCTGCATCCATTGAGATTATATGGTTCTTACCCTTTCTTTTCTTAATGTGATATATATATGGTTGATTTGTGAATATTGAACCACGCTTGTAGCCAGGAATAAATCCCACTTGATCATGGTGAATGATTTTTTTAAATGTACTGTTGGATTCGATTTGCTAGTTTTTATTGAGAATTTTTGCACCCATATTCATCAGTTATACTGTCCTGTAGTTCTTTTTTTAGTGAAGTCTTTATCTGGTTTTGGTACCAGGCTAATACTGGCTTCAGAGAATGAGTTTGGAGTTTTCCTGCCACTTCTATTTTTTGGAAATATTTGAGAAGAATAGATATTAACTCTTCTTTAATTGTTTGGTAGAATTCACCTGTGATGTCATCTAGCCCTAGACTTTTGTTTGTTGGGAGATGTTTTATTACTGATATAATTTCTCTTATGGTTATTGGTCTGTCGAAGTTTTCCTTTTACCTATTTCAGTTTTGGTAGCTTATATACTTCTAGGAATTTATCCATTTCTTCCAGTTTGTCCAATTTGTTGGCATATAGTTTTTCATAATATTGTCCAATAACTGTATTTCTATGGTGTTGGCTATTATTTCTCCTCTTTCATTTGTGATTTTATTTATCTGGGTCTTTTTTATTTTGTAAGTCTGGCTAGGGGTTTATCAATTTTATTAATTTTTTCAAAGAACCAGCTCCTGGTTTCATTGATCTGTTCTATTGTGGGTTTTTTGTTGTCTTTTAGTTTCTATGTCATTTATTTCTTCTCTAATTTTTGTTATTTCCCTTCTTCTGCTGGCTGCAGGCTTCATTTGTTGTTCTTTGTTGAGCTCCATTAAGGGTAAGATTAGATTGTTTATTTGAGATTTTTCTGGCTTGTTTAGGTGGGCCTGTATT